TTGTCTTAAAAATGTTGTCACGTGTTTTGGCACTTGTTAATTAAGTATACACCTATATATTCTTTACTGTGTATGTGTTTAGTAGCTTGACAAAGACCTGAGGGTCGAAACATTGTATTTTGGTGCTTGGGTCCAATAAAATTGCCTATTTTTGGAAGACTTTTGGAGTGCCTGGATTACTTTCTACATTTAAATTCTATATTTGGTCCTTCTTGGTACTGGGACCGGTCCGGTCAGCACCCAAGAATTCCTGAGAGGGTTTGAGTGCAGTTCCACTACCTATATGTAGCTACAACTTTTGAGGCTAATATGATTTCTCAATTTGTTTACAAATTTGTGGTGGTTAAAATATGACCAGACTTTTATGTGAATTATGATAGTTACTATGTTGTTCCATTTCTACTGACAGCAATATTATGGGACATTCATGTGGACTATGTCAAATACTATATCGCTTAAGCTGTACTTTTTTGGTCACACAGCCTCATTTATAAGACAATAGATAGAATGCTGCTATCATTAATACAGGGTAGAAAAGTATGTTAACTTTAGAGTTTACTAGCTTTTTACATGAAATGGTCAGAAAATGTTATACGATCTACAACTAAATTACAACAAAGGAAAATTCAAATTGTCCTAAACTAATACATATAAACAATTACATGTCTTTAGTAATCACACTGTGTAAACATTCACAGTGCAGGGAGGACAAAGGCTGATGACATTTCCAAAAGCTAGTTGGAGTTAGGATTGTCAGGGATCTTACCTGGAGTGGGAGTCCGACACGCAGAGTTAAAGCACCCTTTTCAATTATACACAGGCCAAGGGGACTCAAGGTAGAAATCCCCAAGGCTGTGAACCAGTGCACTGGGGCTGAATAAAACCAGTGCTTCCAGGAACGAGGTACAGACGAGGGATATCCAAAAGCGTAGTCAGGGACGGAAAAAAAAGGTCAGGACAGGCAGCAGACAGGCAGAAGCGAAAGACGAGCAGAGGATCAAAAATCAGGAGTCAGATGAATAGCAAACATGACATGTGCACAGTCGTTATTCGGCATGTGCTAAACCCATAATTAAATGACACTTGGACACCAATTTCTGTTGGAGTATAAAGTCCACAGCTTTATTAAATTATATAATTCAACAATTTAACAATTTAGGGTCATTGCACAAGTATTAATTACGTCTGACCTTCCTGCCCAATACCCCCGACAATGACCCTACCAAATAACAATAATTAATATTCCAATAATTCGTTACGTTTAACACATGGCCTACCAAAGAGGCCCCATAACCATATTGTGGGGATATTTATGGGATAATAATAGTAAACAGTGAGAATTGCCCACTAATTCAATTCTCAGATCCCAAAGATAGTTATCGTGTTAAGTGAAAAGTATTTCATATAAATAAAATCACAATTTGTTATAAAAATAGATTTATTTATTATGACCAATAATTAACAAATAATATTATGTAACATGCGTGACAATAATCAATGAATATCCAGTATAAAATGATATGCAATACAATGGAATGGCTATACACGTTTCAATGGCTAAACAGCATTTTCTGTCAAGACTTACACGATTTATGAGGTATCCTTACAGACATAGAAAGCGAAGCTTTTCACAGCGAAGGGCCATAAAACCCTGGCTAACAGTTAGATCAACTGAATAACCCTTTCAATGCTGGCTAGATCTCCTAGGTAATTAAGATCTATTCTTATGTAATTTTAAATAAAATAACATTTAAACCAGTTCATTAGTCATTTCCTGGAACCATCCAATAAGAATAATCTACCAGATTTTTACAAAAGCCGAATTTAATTTGTCTAAAAGATATCTTATCTTATATTAGAGCAAATCAATACACCTGGATAAAAACAGCGGTATGCTAACATGTGATACTATCACATTAATATATAATTATTCTTAATTCCACCTGCAGAATGGAATGTTTATAACTATATATTCTTTAGTTAACTAAGATTTCATAAATATGGAAATCTGACCGTGCTTTATCCAGTCATATATCATGCTATTAGTAAATTTTAATTAATTTAAATTAATTAAATGAAACCAGTATAGTTACCAGTTATGTAGATATTCTCATCAGGTGAATAGTCTCAGGAACTTGTTTGGATGTCTCTCTGCATGGAGGTGTGTAGGAATTTCTGAGTGTCCTAGAGTGGATATCTGTCATAGGCCTCTCTGCATTGTCCCCGACTGCTCACTTCTTTGCTTCCTTTGCATACCCTTGCATTCCTCGCCTCCCTTCTTCTCCTCTCTCTTCCCTTTGTCTTAACTTTTTAAAGGGAAAATTCACTAGTTGATAGACCAATAGGAACACTGGAGGTGTGTCCAATCTAGGGATCGCAATTTAGGTATTTGATCTATAGAGGGCAGTCTTGTCCCACTAAACATACCTATCCAGGAAAGAGTTAACTTTTCCTGGTGGCTATTTTGACGTCATTTTGGCTTATCTATATGGTTGCCATAATTTAAGTTTTCTGTCAAATCAAACAGTTTCTTTAAGTTTTGTCAAGACTATGTGTCTGGCAAATTCTGCTATAATTTCTAATATGACAGTTATAACTAAGTTTTGACCCGTAATTTACAATGGGATCTTGTACATATAGAAAGTAAAATTTTATTATTTAATCTCCTCTGTCACAAATGTCTGTGTTTAGATATGCATCTATTCCATTAACATTTTAGACAGTCTGTCCAACCCCCGTTCTCCTTATCACTTAGTTTGTATATACTATGCATTCCTTTAGCTCTGGGAAAGTGGTTAGTTTTACAGATAGAAATCTTGTGTCTTTTGTTAGCTTGAAAATAACAAAATGGAGTCTGCTCTGTTCAAAAGTGACTCAGCATATACACTTTTAATTTCTATCATAGCACAAGATGTCTGCCGATATAAATACCCTGACAATATGTTTAACTGTAGGGGTGTACCCAGACACCCCTACACCCCCAGGTTCGTAGCAACCAACAAGCTTGAACCTACCAACTATTTTTCCACTCTGGCATACTCCAGCCTAGACCTTGGCCTGCCCACTTCCTATTCCACCTAAAACCTCTTTAACCCACGCCCTATTCCTCCACAGCACATGACTTGACCCCCTTAAGATCATGTGTGACCCAGAAGCAGGGCCTGGGTAATACCATCCTGAAAACCCAAATTTAGCAAATCAGAACCCACGTCTGACAAATGCACCCCATCCTTCCTAAAATACCCGGGCAGCATGCCCTCCAATTCCCTGTGCCGTACTACCACGCCACCTATCCTTCTAACAAAAACTGCCATGGTCTTATTGACCTTGCCCCTACATCGCACCACCGCAGCCGGATCCCTGGCGTGTCTCCACATAAAACGAGGCACCATTTCCGACCAAACCAATACCACGCCAGGAACCAGCTCCCGCAGCCGATCCAAATCCCTTTTCATCCTCCTCAACAGTTCCCGCTGGAGGATCAAGCCTAGGTCCCCCCCCCACCGTGAACCAATATCACGTTTGGCAATGACCCCCATTTTATCATTTTGAACAATTGCTTACTGATGCTCTGCCAACTGAAACACCTGAATCCCAACCAAATTACAACCACCGTCTCCTTAGGAAAGCCCAGTTGCATTCCGTTTCTTCTCATTGCGGCCCTCTTCCGTGCCCAATACACGTATGAATGTCCAATCAGCCATACCAACCAACCTAAAATAGATAAAACAGTGAACAGCAGAGCAACCTAACAAGAAACGCCCCAGCCACCCGTTACCAACCATCAGGTCTAACGTACGAGCGGAACCAAATGGATTCCCACCTCCCTATCTGCTTGATCCACTGGTCTCCCAGACCTAGATGTGCCGCCTCTGTTGCTGCCCCAATTTTAAAAGAATGTGTCCACAACTCAGCGCGAAATATCCTAATGAACTGAAAACAGGACAACGCCGTACCATCAGCATGAATGAAGAAACAGGCTTCCCTCTTGGGGCGAACTTCCAAGAAATCGGCACCGCAAGCCACCGGGCAAACCCTAGACCCTGGCAATTTGAACAATGTCACCGAGCATCCCTTACCAAAAACGTCTGTCTTCGAGCGGCACAACTTAATCAGCATCCTATCTTCGCCGACCGCCACGTCTCCCCCCCCGCAGCCCACCAACTGCTTTGTTGATGCTAAGAAGTTCCCCAATTGGGAATGCCCCAAAGAATGCCCAGACAAACGCCCCGGAAAATAACACAACCTCATAGGCAGAGTAACATAAAGTCGGCAGAGCCTCCACTAGCCCTTGCAGCACTGCATATGACACCGGCCTCCTCGTATCCACTGATTTCCTACCCTTCCGAAGAAACCTCTTATGGCTTGCCTCGCCAGGAAATGTTTCTTTATATCCTCCCATCCGTTAAACTTGAATGAGAAAGCCAACGCCGACATGTGCCTGTCTACCATAGCTGGAGATGCCTTTCTAGCAAATAGTCGACACAGTATCCATAACAACATGTCTAGCCACTGTCCTGCTGAAAAGTCCCCTCCCACTTGCGCCACTGTCTCTTCCCACTCGTGCCAAACCTTTTCGTATGCCGCCCAGGTGCCTGGCGCTAGGGAACTCCTTATGAACTCCCCAAGCATGATGTCCCGAGCTGTCACATTTCTGCCGGAGAGGCCAGTCCCTCCTCTTGTGCCTCCGGAGCTGCTTCCCGAAAACATTCCCACTGTAAATGAGACAGCCCGTCAGCTACTATACTCAAGAAACCCGGTACGTGCCTGTCAGGATTACTGTTTGATCCAGCACGTAGAACTGTACAGCACGGATGACAATTAAGTAACGTATTACCGGTCCTTAGAATGGCCGGATTTAACGTACAAAGAATAGTCAAAAATACTAGCCGAGGTCAGGGAACACAGAAAGGGACACAGCGATGAGGAAAGCCAGGAGTCAGGATACCAGAATATAGAGAAGTCAATAAACAAAGCCAAAGTCAAAACCAGGTAGAAAACTATAAACAGGAACGCGCTCTCAGACAACCACAAGGGAAACCACGACAGGGCACTGAGCAGGCTGAGAACTGGGCCTAAATACCCCTCCTTTAGTTCTGATAGGCTGTAACCGGCCTTTGACCCCAAAGTCAGTTACCAGGTTTCATTTGCATAATTGCTGCTCAGCATTAACCCTTCTGTGGATTAGGTTGCTGCTCGGCACAACTTTTCCTGTGTGGACAGTAAATGTCATTAATCACTTTTCTCTAAGCGGATGAATACATGACACCAGGTTTCATTTGCACAATTACTGCTCAGCATTAACCCTTCTGTGGATTAGGTTGCTGCTCGGCACAACTTTTCCTGTGTGGACAGTAAATGTCATTAACCACATTTCTATAAGCGGATGAATATGTGACATTACCCCCCACCTGAAGAACGCCCACCGGGCGGACAGGACCAGGCTTGAGAGGAAATTTAGCGTGAAAAGCGCGGATCTTACGGCCCACATGCAGGTCAGGAGCCGAAACCCAAGAACGATCAGCAGGACCGTAACCTTTCCAAACAACCAAGTACTGTAAAGTGCCCCCTGAGAAAACCTAGAATCCACGATAGAATACCTCATACTCTTCCTGACCACCCACCACCACCGGATGGGGAGGAACACAAGGAACAGTATATCTATTGCAGACAAGAGGTTTGAGAAAGGACACATGAAAAGTGTTGGGAATCCCTAAAGATGCAGGAAGAGCCAGAGAGTAAGACACTGGATTGATCCTACGAAGCACTCTATAGGGACCAAGGAATCTGGGGGCAAACTTCATGCTAGGGACCTTAAGCTTGATGTTGCGAGATGACAACCAAACCCGGTCCCCCACTTGGTACACCGGGTTGGCACTCCTACGCTTATCAGCAAAATGTTTGAAGCGTTCAGCAGCAGCCCCTAGAGCAGTTTGAACCTTAACCCAGGTATCCCGAATGGAGGCCAGACGCTCATCCAGAGCAGGAATGGCAGTATCAGAAAATACCGCAGGGAGAACTGTAGGATGCCTACCATTATTGACAAAAAATGGACTGTGCCCAGAGGAGTCATGAACAGCATTGTTTCTAGCGAACTCGGCCCACGGGAGTAGTTCGGACCAATTGTCTTGTGTGCTATTAATAAAACAACGCATATAAACTTCTAATGACTGGTTAGCCCTCTCAGCTGTACCATTGGTCTGTGGATGGTAGGAGGAGGAGAAGGAGAGATCAATCCCCAATTGTTTACTGAACGCCCTCCAGAACCTGGACACAAACTGAGAGCCCCTATCAGACACAATATTGTGGGGGATGCCATGCAAACGGACAATTTCACGTATGAAAATTAGGACCAAATCTTGCGAAGATGGCAACTTCTTGAGAGGAATGAAGTGAGCCATCTTAGAAAATCGGTCTACAACCATGAGAATAGTAGTGAACCCAGCAGAGCTAGGAAGCTCAACAATAAAGTCCATGGATAGGTGGGACCATGGAATCTCAGGAACAGGAAGAGGCTGCAACAGGCCACAAGGAAGTGCATGAGTCACCTTAGAAACTGCACACACAGAACATGCCTGCACATACTCCTTTACATCTTTCCTGAGTGAATCCCACCAAAATGATCTAGTGATCGCGGCAGTGGACTTATTGATGCCCGGGTGTCCAGCAGTTATATTGTCATGGAACACTTTCATGATATTAACCCTTTCACATAGGGGAACGAACAGTTTATCACACGGTTTACCACTGGGCGCCTGAGGCTGGGCCTCCAGTATGGTGCCAAGCAGTGGAGAAGACAGTGAGAGGACAGTAGTAGCAATAATACACTCTGCTGGAATAATAGGAGATGTCATCTGTTCCGGAGCTGACTCATTATCAAATTGCCTGGACAAGGCATCAGCCTTGGTATTTTTAGAACCAGGTCTATAAGTAATGAGAAAGTTAAAATGTGAAAGGAACAGTGACCATCTAGCCTGTGGAAGACAAACGTTTGGCATCCCCTATATATGCCAGATTTGTGTGGACAGTAAATGTAATTAATCACTTTTCTCTAAGCAGATGAATACATGACACCAGGTTTCATTTGCACAATTACTGCTCAGCATTAACCCTTCTGTGGATTAGGTTGCTGCTCGGCACAACTTTTCCTGTGTGGACAGTAAATGTCATTAACCACATTTCTATAAGCGGATGTCTCACTTTGTCCACTAGCTGACAAAGCTTAAGTAGTTTATCCGCGGGTAATCTGCATTCGCCTTCCACCGAGTCAAGATTCAAGCCGAGGAAACTGAGGCATGAGGTGGGGCCAATCGTCTTATCCTCTGCCAGGGGAACCCCAAAAGAGTGTGCCACCCATTGAAATACCCTCAGTATTAGGCCGCACCGCTCAGATCCCGCCGTCCCCATGCACAAAAAATCACGAGGTAATGCACGATTGCCCCCCCGGCCAACTCCTGCCGCACCACCCATTCCAAAAAGGTGCTAAACTTTTCGAAATAGGAACACGAGATGGAGCAGCCCATTGGTAGACACAAGTCCATGAAGAAACCCCCTTCGATGAAACACCCTAGTAGGTGGTGACATTCCGGATGTATGGGGAGCAGCTGAAATGCTGCTTCCACATCCACCTTCGCCATCAATGCCCCGTGTCCAGCTCTCCAAACCAACTCGACCGCATGGTCGAATGATGCATAGGATACGGAACACAGGGCAGCGTCGATATCATCATTTACCGAAGTCCCGTGAGGGTGCGATAAGTGATGTATCAGGAGAAATTTGCCCACCTCCTTTTTAGGGACCACCCCCCAGCGGAGACACCCGCATATCGGCTTGAGGCGGGGATGGAAATGGCCCCGCCATCCTCCCCATTTGGACTTCTTTCATTAATTTCTCCCGTACTACCACCGGGTGTTCGCGAACTGATTTAAGGTTTGCACACATGGTTACTGGGCCCTTGACTCTGAATGGGATAACAAAACCCTCTGTAAATCCTTGCCATAAGAATCTCGCATCTTCCTGGTTACTGTACTGCCTTAGCCAAGGCAGCATCGCGCCGACCCTCACCGGCGACGTTCCCAGTTGCAACCGCCGTGGCTGTTGACCTTGCTGTACATCCAAGGTTAGATTTCCCTTTCTTAAAGCATCTGTTGACTCCGTGATTGCCCCCGCATCCCGAACATTCATGTTTAAACCTACCTCGTTGTAGAGCCAGCAGAACCCCTATTTCTGTCCGGCCGACACGGCGCCTCCTGTGACTGTGCTGGCCGCCCCTGAAAGGGCGCATTTTTCTGCACCATCATTATTTTCATCCATAAAGGCAGGTCCATCTGGTCCCACCTCATGCTAGGATTAAGTCCCCTATCCCGTCTAAATAACAGAAGAGCTGTGAGCATCGTTCTGTGTACTTTTTCACGACTACACTCGCCAAAATACAAAAGGCCCTGAGCCAGTTCCCAAAAGTCTTCGGTATCTTTCGATACCGCCGCTTTTTCTCCTCCTCCTCTTTTTGGCATCTTTCATATCCTCCTCCTTTAAGTCGAGGAATTCCTCGAGCGGAAGCAAGGAGAAGATTTGCATGAATTCCCCTCACCCAATTTTTTCTTTTACCTCCACTTTCAGGTGACACCCCAACGGCCCCGCGAAGGACACATGCACATTTTGCCGTGTCACGTCCGCTATCTCGCCACACCTTGCTGCCTGCTGTCCTGACCCGTCCGCCTTCTCGGTTACCAACTCCCCTTCCCTCGCTTTGCCGACACCCGACCTGCGTGCCAATGTCACCTCAGCCCCCTGCTCCTTATCTCTCCCGCCCTCTGGCAACCATACCCTTCCGAACCGCAGAGATGACCCCTCCTCTCCCGCCCAGGAGTTTATGAGCGATTTTAAGCAACCCAGTAAGGTCCCGGTGTGTGGTGCAATTTGTGACTCACTGCCATTTCCCCCCGACCGTGGCCGGCCGCGGGGGTTGCTGTCCTTCCTTCCGCCTTACAAGGCTCCGGAGAATTCTGTTACTGCCGACTCCAGTCCGCCTGGCCCCTCCTCGAGACCATAGGTGAAACACTCCTCGACCTGGGTAATCTGTCCATATGTTGTCCTACCCGCCCTTCCTCCCTGCACTTCTTGGCCCTATCCCTGTCTCTGCGCTGTTTCGCTGCCTGACCATCCCTGCCGTATGTCCTTCTCTGCCGACCCTTTGAACTCCTGTCTGAGGAACTTGAAGCGCTGCGCCGATATCTCGGCCTCCGTTCCCTGGTACTGGATCTCTGCCTACTCCGCCGGCTCCTGGACAGGCTCTTGTCCCAGCTTCTCCCTCTCCCCGCTGACCTCCTCTAGATGCTGCGCCTGTCCCCTTCCTGTGCTGCTGACCATGAGAGCGACCCCTAGGGGGCTCCCGCCCACCCTGTCTCCTCTGCCTTGCTCTCACCTCCTCTGTCCCTGCGGCTCCTCCATGTCCCTGCACCTGTCTTCAGATATCCTTTCTTGTCTTCTCCTGTCACTCTGGCAACCTCCTGAGGGATGGGATTCACCCCCCACCCCCCCCGCCCCCCCGCAGTTCCACTATGCCCAGAGACGCTGTTGTCCCTTTCCCTGTTTTCTGTCCTGGGCCTATTCCCTGCAGGGGTTAAGCTCATTTGTGACATGCCATCTGCCTCCCCCTCGGTGCTGGCGCCGAGCTGTCCACTAGTACCCCATCCCCCTGCCCGTCAGTATCGCTACTAGGGGTGGGCTCACCGGGGCGCTCCATTTCTGGTCCAGTTCTGCCCTGCTGCCTGGCTGCCATCCTGGCTGGGCTGGATCCAGCCATTTGCTGTGGCCTCCCGTCCACGGACTTGTGGCAGGGTGCTCGCGGTAGGCCTCTGTTCCTGAGTAGCGCCCGACTGGCGCACTCCAACCCCCAAGGCCCGTCCTTCCGCCTGGACCGCAGTTCCCTTGCCGCGCGACGCTGGACTCTGGCGCCTCCTCGCCACTGGTGCTGCTCCTGGGCTGAGCCATTGGGGCAGTCGTGCCCTCTTCATTGGCCTCCACTCCATCACCGCGGGAGGGGGGAGCAGACGTGCCAGGATCTCTTCAGCAGAAGCCATACCTGAAAGAAAAAGAACAGACCACACAGACATGCCACAAGTAGCAAGTAAGTGAGGTTTTGATTAAGATGGCCACTTCACCAAAATGGCCGTTATTTAAACCCCTACTCTCCTCCCCCCAAACCCAATATTAATTTCTCCACACCCCCTGACCTTAACTTTACCTGCCCACTCTTTGGCCTTGTCAAGGCCCACTCCACCCCCCTGCATTGCTCCATGGGCTTCGGGAACCAACAGGAACAAAACGATCTGACAACGAACATCCAACAGGGCAGAGTTTATAT